TTTTCCAAAATGCATTATATGTTAAATTATATTTTCTATCCACCTTATATTCAAGATTGGTACTAGTTGTTCCTTCTTTAGCAAGTTTGTCTACTACATTGTTATGGTGTTCTTGTTTATGTGCTTTAACTTTTATAAAATTTATGTCTAAATTTCCCTCTTTTATATAATTGATTATTGTTATCCATAGGTCATTATATTTCTGCTTCAGATGGTTTCTAATGCTATTTTCCTCTTCCATCCTACTCATTGTATTATATTTATTAATGAATGAAAGACTATCAGTATAAATATTTATCGAACTATTTTCAGGAACTGTTAATATTGTGCTAAATATTGACATCATTTCTGCTTTTAGTGAGGAATGCCAGTTTTGAATTTGGGCTTTAAATATTGTACCTTTTGCTGCTGCTCCTGTTGTTTGTATCCAAGCAATTCCACTATGTGTGTTTAATGTTCCTATTTGTTTTACTGATCCATCTGTATAAAAACTATACTCTTCAGATGGTTCATTCGCATTTTTTTCATATGTATTGATTAGTACTTCTGTTATTTCATTACTATTAAATAAGTTTCTAATGTAGTTTATTCCTTTGGGTAATTGGGTTTCTACTATCATTGATTGATTGTGTTCACTTGTGTTAATGCTCCTTCTGTATTTATTCTTAATTTGGTTTTCTATTTCATTTTTTGTTGATTGAATGTGAACTTTTGTAATATAATTATTTTGTCTCATGTATGGTACCTTGATTGTTTTATCATCATGTACCATTATATGACATTGTTTTCTCTGATTGTGATACATATTTACAATATGGTTTTCATCTAATGAACAACCTGTACATTGATTTAATTTTGGTGATTGCCATGTTTCTGTACTAGGTGAAGTTGTGGCTGATATTGATTTGACTTCTTCGTGGTGTTGTAAGATCAAGTATCTTTTGTCTTCTATTTTAATTTTTTTAACCTCTTTTCCAAAAATTACTTTATTGTAATCTATAGCTGCTGACATTTTATTTTTATTATTATTATTATTATTTATATAGTTCCAGTTATGGGAGCTTTCTTTAGTATCATCTATCATTATTCTATGTTCTGGTATGATGACTCTAGTTAGTGTGTTACATATCAATTTATTTTCTAATGTTTTGAACCAATTAGGTTTTTTACCTACTAGTTTGGCTCCTACTTTTGATTTTAAATGTTGCCACTTTATTAATGTAATGCCATCAGTTAATATTAATTGCTCAATAAACCTAATGTTGTATTTTTTCAGGAAGGTTAGGCCTTGCCTAAATAGTTTATAATTGTTGAGGATCTCTTTAATTGTTGATGATTCACTGTTGAATGAATGTGTATTGTCATTTGTTCCATGATTACAAAATGTGATTGCAGCATCTTTTGCTAATTGCAATATATCATAAATTAGGTTTATACCTCTTGGTATTGGATCTGTTGGGATATGTTGCAATATACATTTATCACTCCATATTTTATTTTGTAAATCAAGTAATTGATAAATTTCAAAACATAGATTAAATATGTCCATTCCGTATCTAAAAATTTATTCTGTATCAAATATAGGGAAATTCTTATACATTCTGTATGTTTATTTTCTATAGGGCGAGATATCCATGATTTAATTTGTTGGAGTGTGGGAATATTATCAGCTTCTATTTCATTATTTTCAGCATGCTTTTCAAGTTGTTTCAACATATCTTCTGGTGAGAATTTATTACTTTTCTCTATATTACCAGCCAGGAACATTTCTTACAATTTTTCAATTACATTTAAATTTAATCTTTTACCACCTTTTTTCCCAAATTTTTGTTTACTCCTTAGGGCAAATCCAGGTATTAAATTTCTATGCAATAAATCTTTTAAGTCATCATTTGAAAATAATGTAATATTTATTGGCTCAAAATTAGTAAATTGATCCAATCTCTGTTTTATGACTGATTTATCTCCAGAGGAATTCAAATTTTTTTCTTGAAGCTTGGATCTTACTTCAGAGGCTGTTAATGTTTAAATATATGGATTAATTTGTGAAGGTATATTCATTTTCCATTCTAACTGAGCACTTGTTTGGTCAATGGCTATTGAATTAGGTTAATTTATATCTTTGTTTTTGAGAAGTTTTTTTATATCAGAAACTGAATATATTTTTGGTTTTCCATAATTAGGTATTTCATAAGCTTCTATAATTCCTTCTTTCTCACCAGTTGGCCACATAAAGGTGAAATAATTAGAAATCCCTGGAATGGTGCCAACTGGTATTTTTTTACTAGGATCTGGAATTAATTTGGCAAGTGTTGTTCCAACAAGTTTTTTATTAGCATTTATTATGTTTTCTCTTATAGAAATACTATTGCCTAATTTTATATATTGAGTAAAATCATGTGATAATTAGCATGATGAGAATCTACAATGGTTTTGGCTTCACCTGGTTCTAAAAATTGCCATTTAGTCACATTTAGATTGTACCATTTTTTCCAATAACTGACA